ATTGATCATGTTGTCTTTGGGAAAAGAACTTCAAAAATTTAAGAGATGTTTATGTGATTACTCAAACTATTTTTAAGTTACTTTTATTTCTGCATGCAAATAATATTGTTTGCATTTGCACATTTATTCCATCTTTTAAAATGGCTAGATGAATTTTCACCCACTTGAGTATATTTAGGATTATCTGATTTGCATATAAGCTGTTGGAATTTCAGGAAGTCATTTTGAGATGAAGCAGGGAGGTTTTTCCTAGGGATTTGCAGCAGCCCTAATTTGTCTTTGAAGAAACATGGAACTTAGGAACATCTCACAGAGATTAATCTCACATCAATCTAAGTGACCATGAGTGAGTAGGGTACAAAGAATAGAGGCCTATGAGATTGCTGATTAGATGTGTGCCATAGAAATGGTATTACACAAATAGATAAAAMCAATAGTGGGTCAGCAGAAGGAAGACTTTGGATTCACACAAATGCCACCTATCTTGTCACAAAGTAGATTCCTAGAATCTCAGATATTTGCAGTCAAATACATGTCTATGCAGTATAAAGAAGGAACAATACACCTGTAGGAATGACAAGGCAGTCACCCATTTGGTCCATAAAGCTTCCTGAAGGCAGGGACGTTTCCCACATAGCTTGAGTACATATCCTCCTCTGGAAACTTGATAATAAATTATTTGAAATATAGCAGACTATTTTATGCTAAATTTTATTTATTTCTCTTACAATGTGTGTCCAGTTTATTAAAAATGAACCATATGTATCATTAAATTAATTTCACTTTTATACAAATGTGTTTAATGTAATTGGTAAACATTTTTTAAATTACATGTATTGCTTGCATTATATTTTCAACAGACATAAATAATTTTTCAATGCAGCATGAATTTATTTTTCTCATTAGAACATCCAAACTTTTACTCTTATTTTAGGTTTATAATATATTGTTTTATTAAAGATTGTTCATGCATCTCTGTCCACAGTTGTATGTGTTGTAATAATGGCTTATTAAAAATTATCATTTATCTAACTTTTCAAGTGTAACTAGTTTCCATAGCATTGCTACATCCAAAATGGTCTTCTAGTCTACCAGCTTCATGCCTTCTTAATTGCATTTCTATAGAGAAATGACTTCTTTTTTGGTCATCAAAGTCCAAGCAACTTCTAAAGATCTTGAATCTCATCTAGAGAAGAATGTATAATTAGATAATTCTTGTATCATTATGGTTTTGATGTGAGATGTCCCTCAAAAGCTCATATGTGAGACACAGCAAGAAGATTTCAAGGAGAAATTATTGGGTTATGAGAGTCTTACTCCAATCCATGAATTAATCTCCTGATGGGATTAACTGAGTGGTAACTGAAGGCTGGGAGGGTACAGCTACAGGAGGTAGGTCATTGGTGGTGATGCTCTAGGGTATATATTTTTTATCTGGCAAGTAGTCTTTCTTTGATTTCTGATCATCATGTGAGCTTCTTCTCTCTGCCACACTCTTCTTCCTTGATATTCTACTTCATCTTCAGCCCCAGGGAATGGAGGTGGCTATCTATGGACTGAGACCTCTGACACCATCAGCCCCCAAATAAACTTTTCCTCCTCTAAAATTATTCTGGTTGGTTCTTTAGTTGCAGCAGTGAAAAAGATGATCAAAACATATACACACCAAAACTTAAGGCCCCCACTACCAATACATTACATTTCAAAATTAGGCCCCAACTACCAATACATTACATTTCAAAATTATCTGTGGCCTTTGAAATGTCTTTAGTTAGCAGAGCAAGTTATAATTCGACTGCCTAATAAAAATGATGGACCTCTTATTTATGATTGTTCCTCAGGGGACTATAATGGACATATGACTAGAAAGGAAGGTTTGTGGGTAGCCCTTGCCAAATGCTACCCATTTGCTTTGGTAATATAGACATTTCTTCAATAAGTCAGTTTGCTATGGAAAACATATATTTGGTCATATTCAAAGGTGAATTTGCTTTAGCAATTCCCTTTGAAAGTCTATAGAAACATTTAACTATAAGGAAAAAGGTCTAAATTATTATGGGATTCATTCATACCTGTACAACAAAACAAATTTAGAAGTATGTCTACCTGCAGGTGACTATGAATGAAAGGCTAATACAGTATGTGCTTTAATATATGGATAATTATCTGTCACACATGTCTTTGGGAAGAGCCCTAGAATATACTATCTTGTGCTGTTCATCAGTTGTCCAATAATTCACCATGTTTGCTTTTCCATCCATTCCTCAGGTACCTGAAAACACAATCAGAATTGCTCCAACATCCTCCTGGTCAGTGAGTGCATATTACTTGATAAAATACCTCATATTTCATAGCCAATTTTCCCTATATGTGTTGAGTTGACATCAGAGGAGCTGAAAATGTACAGTGTTAGAAAATTGTGCCCCAGAGGAAATACTGATCAGATTCACAAATTGAGATAGAAATGTGGCCATTAATTAAGTACAAACTTTATCGCACACACCAATCAAATATAATGACAAAATTTCAGGCTTTATCTGTTCCCTGAGCTAGGACCCATCAATATTCATCTACTAGGTTTAGTCACAAATTGGATCATATAGTACTTGACTCTCCCCATACTTTTCCTYGATATTTATTATGTAGTCATCTCTCCAGGAATACAGATCTTATAAGAATTATTTACTTCAACAAAAATAACTCTAATTTCTGGTTAATAAATAAAATTCAGAAAACTATTTTTTATGATTATAAAAGAATGAAAAGATAATCAGAAGAACTCAGAAATAAAATGAGTTTATTATTTTCTCATTCCCTATTTTGAGACCTTTATAAACCTCTGATCTGATACTTCAAGTACATTTATGGTAGGCAGAATTTTTAATTGATCTCCAATGACCCACTCACTGTCAAGCTTCTTTGCTTGGATGTGGATGGGACCTAAAAATATGATGAAATATCATCACTGTAATCATGTTAAATTAAAAGGAAAAAATTAAGGAGCTGAAAGAATGAAAATCTGTAAGGAAGTTCCCTAATTAGTGGAATTTATTAATTAAGAGGGAGATTATCTTATGTGAACCCATCCTAATTAGAAACTTTGAAAGAGTTTCCTTAGCTCAAAGAATCTCTCTGTTGCTAGTGTTGATAAAACAAACCATGATAATTGAGCAGCAGCAAGGAAATTAATTCTGTTAACAACCTTATGAACTTGGAAAAATATTGTGAGTCTTTATGTAGTCTAAATTCAAAACAGATACATTTATTACATCCTTGAGTTTCTGAAAAAAAAAACCCGCCTATGCCATGCCTGAATATAGAACCCATAAAAATTGTAAGAAAAATAAATATACTTTTCTATTTTTCTCCCTTCTATTTTCATAAAATTCCTCCTTTTTAAATTCCTTCCCCCACCACCTCTCTCTCTAGCTTTTGCATGTACAAGGAAACACTCAACCCTAGACTTTGTAAAGGGSGTTTAGAGAGAGAAAGGAAGAGAGGGTGTGGGAAAATACTAGGGAATAAATCTCAAAATATACTATTTTCTGTATAAATATGCTACAATGAAGCTCATGTATATATTATATATATATATATATATACATATATATATTCATATCTACATCTATTTAGAATTGGTGATCCAGGAGTTTTGGGTTGATACGTATATAATACCCTAATTTAAAAATAATAATAATAATAATAGAAGGGAAATCAATAGATTACAGCAAGTGCATCTAGGGAGGGGGTACAGAGGGGAAGGGAAGTTACTAGGGAAAGAGATTGATCAAATAATATTACATGCATGCATGAATATGGTATAATGATCCCAGTATTATGTGTAATTGTAATGCATCAATAAAATAAAGTAATAAACACTTTTGTCTCCAAAATGCTATGATTTTGTAAATAGATAAAAAAATTCATCACAGTACTGAACATTTTTTAAATAAACACCTGAAACCTGAAAATTAAACACAGATGTTTTGTTCAATTTTTCTTTTTCTCATAATATTTTAAAATTTTTATGTATTTGTTTCAAATCTCTGTCTTTTGAGGTTCAAACACACAAGAGTTAGAAATAACATTTCCCTCAACTTTTCCATAAAAAAGGCTCTCAGAGGTAAAGGTCCAATAACACTTTTGATACAGGTGAGGGTTGCCTAGCAACAATCTCACACCACCATCCTGGAGTTGCTTAGGGTATCAGTTCTAAGGGCAACTCACTAACAGATCAAAGATGAAGACAGAARGTGGAAATAAAAGGAGAAAATGTTAGTGGAATACTCCACAGGGCAAATAAGATCCAGATACGAAACATCAGAATTACTGTAAACAGCCTTTCATTTATTTTTCTTTAATAAATCACAGTACACAAAGACCTTAAAAGAAAAACTTCATCCTTGCTAACTTTCACAAATGTTGTCTAACAAGGAGAATTAGCGATCCAGGAATTTGGGGTTGATATAGGACTTACAGGAGTTTAAAAATTATCTAACATATCCCATTCCCATTTTGAAGGTAGAAAAATAAGAAAAAAAATAAAAACATAAGTAATAAACACATAAAATAGCTTAGAAACAGAAAATCGAAGTTAGTAAATGACTATGCAAGATTCAACAGAATTAAGAGGTAGTTGTTTCTACAAAACATGACTCCTAACAACAACTTTACACTAAAATTGTATATTACAGTTAAAAGAACATAGAACTTGGAGAAAGATAAACTGGGAGGGTTTCTTGATTTTGTCTGCCACTTCTTGATTTTGTCATCTTGGACAATTTGTGTTTTGGTGTTGTCTTTTTTTTTTAATTACGTTTAAGGTTTGCTGGTTTTTTTTAAAATTATGTTTAAGGTTTATTTTACTCTCCAATGAAATGTAATGACTTAATTAATTTTGCATTGCTGTAGTGAAATACCTGAGACTGAATGACTTCATAAAAAAAGAGTTTTACTTTTGCTCACAATTCTGCTCCAGGTTTGAGGACTCATATTTGATGATGGCCGTCTTGCTGGCAGAGTTTCAAGCAGTGCAGAGTGTTAGATCATCACAGGGTAAGAGACAGGGAAAGTGTGTGTGTATATGTATGTATGGTGTGTAATATATTTCTGTATTTTCTGGACTCACCCTTCCTCCCTTCTTGCATGTGTACCAGTACCATTCAGAGGCTCTATCCTAGAGTCTAATCTTAATCCCACACCCAAAGACTCCACTTCTAAACACCATAGTCACATTAAATTTCTACCCTCTTTATATTTCACAATGAAGTATACATTGGGAGGAGACACTCAAACCACATTCAATTGCAACATATAAGAAGGCAATTAAACCAGTAAGGTTAGCACTAATCCAAGCAAATAATGTTATCAAATGCCTCCTGTCACATGCCAAATACCTCATATTTTTGCTTTTAGAATCTTGAGAATTGATCTCTCCTTTGGGGGAATATTTTTTTTGCAGCTGTTAAAGTTTATCAAATAGAGCAGATTATATATAAATATCCCCTACTATGATATAAATACTCAATGAAACAAAAATGATCATATATTGGGCTCCAGTTACCATTTGGGGAATTCCACTCTAACCTATAAAATCATTTGAGCACAATTAATATACAAGAAATATCAACTTGAATGAGGTTCATTGTAATTTATCTTAGAAATTAAGTAACTAAAATATCTTATTAAAAGTAATATCACAATTTTCATTTACTACTTGATTAAAATCACATCAAACATATTTAGGAAAATTTACCCAGTAATAACACACTGGAAAGAAATCTTTAGGGGACTAATTAGCAATACTATTTTAATGAGAAAACTTCATATAACATCTTACAAATTTATGTTATCAAGTAAACCAAAACCATTCATTTGCATAAGATATATGAATATATTTTAAATCTTAGCTCATATTTGCATACTGTTTGCAAAAGAAATGATTTAGACAAATTCATAAAGATTTSAAAGTCAATTTAAAACTCAACCATTCACATTTCTTACTCTTTATGAGATGYAAGCTATTTCCAAAATAAGTACACTTTATTTTCCCAGAAGACTAAAACTAAAATTAACATAAATAGTAATATTCATATCTCATTAAATAAATGAGATTAAATGAACAGCATTTATGTAATCTAAAATGATAGGACTTTTGATAGAAGGATATGGTAAAATTCAAAGCTCAGTTAATTCTTGCATATACGTTAGCACACAGAAACATTAAATCATACATATACACATTCATACACACACACACACACACACACACACACACACACACTTGTATGAATACAGAAAACAGGAACAGGCACACCCAGACACACATCCTGTACTTCTGTAAAAAGATATTCTTAGACCAAGATGCATGTATCTTTTATGTTCATTATTACTATGGCCAATCTTTCCCAGGTTCAATTATTCATTTAAAGATCTATCAGGTTCCCCAGGGTAGCACATGTCTGTAATTACAGTGGCTCTGAGGGGATAAGACAGGAGGAAATCCAGTTCAAAGCCAGCCTCAGCAAAGGGGAGATGCTAAGCTACTCARTGAGGCCGCCTCTAAATAAAATACAGAAAAGAGGCTGGAGATGTAGCTCTGTGGTTGCATGCCCCTGAGTTCAATCCCCAGTACCCAAAGAGCAAGAATAGAATAACAGGTTTATCAGAACTCAGAAAGGTATTTTGGTCATGGCTACTGTTTACTGTAGTGAAAGGAAACATTAAAATCAGCAATAGTAAAAGGCACATAGAGTGGAGTTTAATACAGATTTGTTAACAGTTCTTGATGTCTTTGCCCAGCAGAGTATATTTGGATAGTGCCTAATTCTCCTATAAATGATGTGTGGTGTGACAATAAACACAAAATATTATATATTGGTAAAATTCACATCATCCTGGTGCTGGGGATTTTAATACAGGATTGCTTACATGGGCATGGCTCAAGCTCCTTCTGAGATCAAGCTAATACTGCAAGTTCCAAAGGTCCCACAGTAAACCACTTTGTGAGTGCAAACTATTTGTCAAAGTTCAAGTACTCAAGTGAACAAAGATACTTTTATTATGTAAATACACCAAAGTCCTAGAGATTATTTCCCTGGTGTGCAGCAAAAGCAAAACCTTTTGAATGTGTATAGTTTCAACAACCCAGACCCAGTGAGTAAATCCTTTAGTACACAGTATATTTTATATTAATATGTGCAATTAGCAATGTCAACTTTGTATGATAGAACATAATTTCTATTCATATATGAATTTGTTGGACTATTTTCCTGATTTTTTTTACTATTATGCTTCTATATTACCACTAAAATTCCAGCATAGCATGCAGTAAAACTAAATATATTACCTAAGTAAATTGATTAATTTATGCTAAATATATTTTAAATCTCTGAATAATGAGTTAAAATTTAAATAATAATATTTATAGAACAATATTTGAATTAATAGAACAAAACAAACAGGCCCTAMGATTCTTCACTTTTGCTACAGCTAAATATAAATTAATTATGAAAATTGTTMAAAAATCAAATGAGAGAAGGCAAACAAAATTATATTCTATCACTGCTCTRTATAAAATAAATGTTGAAGAGATACAGCAAGATGCCAGTTGACTCAGATCTCCAGGTATTTATCCCCCCACAGACACATYAGTTTGAGTTCCTATTCATGTATCAAACCACCTTCCCGAGAGCTAAAGAAATCAGGTGAGAGACCCTGGGGCTGGGATTAGTGTAATAAATAGGAAAAGTGCATTGAACAAGGCAGAAAAGARTTACTGGCATCACTATTTTCCCAATATCAAGCAGACTCCAGAGAAACGCCTCCTGGGTAGAGGAAAAAGAAGGTGTTAAGTCCAGGCACCAAACTTGAAGCTGAGCACCAGGCCTGCCGTGCTGAAACTGGAACTGGATCCTGAGCACAGCCACACAACTCCTGTCCCAAGCCAATACCCACCCACTGATTCACTGGAACTGCATTTACCAGACATCTATCTCCACTACCCTTCCTTCAACTGCATACAGCAGGGAGATTCACCACTGGGGAGCAAGGCACAGAAGCTAACATAGGACTTTACCTTGGAGCTCAGTGATAGACTGCTGTGGTGAGATCCAACATCAGGAAGAAATGAAAGGTCCCTGAACAGGTCAGAGCTCACAGGGAGACTCTAGATCTGCGCTGGCTCATGAAGGAAGAAAACCTGGACTGACCAATACAATTAATGAAAATGAATTAGGGAAACAAAGTTTTACATCAAAGAAAAATCCAGGACCAGATAGTTTCACTGCTGTGTTCTACCAAACTTTTAAAGAACAAGTGGCAATTATTCTTAAATTATTACCAAAAAAAAAAAAAATACTGTTGAGGAGGCAATTCTTCCAAACACATTTCATGAGAACAGCATTACCTTGATACAAAAACAAGGCAAAATAAATAAATAAATAAACAAACAAACAAACAAACAAACAAATAAATAAATAATAAAACTATGTAGCAAACTGAATCCAATAGAACATTACAAATATTGTCTATTTTCATGAAGTGAGATTCATCCCAGGGATTGAAGAAGTCTTGAAAATTTACAAATCATAATTTTAACACACAGAATGAAGAGCAAAACCCATATCATCTCAGTAAATACAGAACAGGAATTAGACAAAATTTAACATGCTTCATGATAAAGATCTTGAAAAATTAGGTGTGAAAGGAATGTGCTTCAGCAGATTAAAGCCCATATAAAATAAGCTAGTAGCTAATATTTGGTAAATGTCAGAAAAGCTGAAAGTTTCTCTGTGATATGTGGAAGAAGACAAGTTGCCCACTTTTACCACTTGAATTCAACATACATCAGAATTCCTAGCCAGAGTAATTAAATGAAACAAAGTAACAAAGTTATTTGAATTGGAAAAGAGGAAGTTAAATAGTTACTATTTGTAAATGACATAATCTTYGATGTAGAAAACCTTGAAGATGCCACCCAGTATTATTAGATCTAATAAAATAATTCAGCAAAATTGCAGGTACAAAATCAACATACAAATGTCAGTCACATTGCTATATGCCAATGGAAATTGCCTAATATAGAAATCAAGAAAGCAATCCCATTTTATAATAGCTACAAAAATAAAATAAGGTACTTTGGAATCAATTTAACTTAAGAAGTTAAAGACATTTACCATGAAAATTTTTAAACACTGAAGAGTCTCCCCTCCCAATGGAAAGACATCCCATGATCATAAATTGAAAAATAAATATGATAAAATGCCCAAATTATCTGAAGTGATCTGCAGATTCAATGAGATTCCTATCAAAATACCAACACATTCTTCAACATCTAGGGAAATTATCCTAAAATTTGTATGTATACATGCACACACACACACACACACACACACACACAAATATAAACTTTTAAAGCAGGTCTTGAATAAAAATAATAAATCTGAAGACACTATGCTATTTTACTACAAAATATAATATAAAATTATAGTAATTAGAACAGCATTATTCTGGCATAAAAGTAAGTTTATAGACAAATGGATCAGAATGCAGAGCATAGAAATAAACTCATAAATCTACAGTCAACAGATCTTCAACAGATGTGCTAAGAATATTCATTGGAGAAAGGATAGTCTTTCAATAAAGAATACTAGGACAATCAGATATTCACCTACTAAAAACAAAAACAAAACTAAACTAGAATTCTGTCTTTCATCAGATACAAAAARTATCCCCAAGTATATTAAAGACTTAATTGTAAGACCTRAAACTACTAAAAGAAAACAGGGAAAATCTTGAAAATATGAGAATGTGCAAGCATATTTTGAAAAAAAATACCATGAAACTACTGGAAACAAAATTTAAAACCACAACAGGAATTGCATCAAAGTAAAAAGTTTCTGCACAGCAAAGGAAGAGTCAACATAGCAATGACAACGCTACAAAATGAGAGCAAATATTTGCCAAATACATATCTAACAGAAATCAATACCTAAAACACACRGAACCCCAAAAGTCAATAAAAGTAATACAACAGTCTGATTTAGAATGGGYAATAGAGGTAAAAAGACATTTCTCAAAATCAGCCATAGAAATGACCAACAGRTATAGGTTAGGTTCAATAACACTAATCATCAGGGAAATGCAAATCAAAACCATAATGAGCTATTACCTTAGTTTAGTAAGAATGGCTATTTTCAAAAATTAAAAGAATAGGAAGCTGGAGATAATGTGAAAGAAAGAGAATCCTTTTYACACTGGTGGTAGGAATACAAATAGGCACAGCCATCATGGGAAATAGGACAAAGGTCCTTCAGAAAACTAAAYATGGAAATACCATATGACCCATCAATCAAACTACAGGGTACATAATCAAAAGAAATGAAATGTGTCATGTTGAAGAGACATCCGAAGTTTCGTGTGTATGAAATCATTCATAATCAACAAGAAATGGGATCAAMCGAAGGGTTCCATGAAGTTATGAATGGATAAAGAAAACATGGTAGATACACAAAATGAAATACTAAATAACCATGAAAAAGAATGAAATTCTGTCACTATGACAATATGGATGGACTTGGTGATTATTATGTTAAGTGAAATGAGCCAGACACAGACAAATATTGCATGTTCTCACTCACACATAGAATGTAAAAAAAGCCAGTCTCATATAACTTGAGCATAGAATGGTGGTTCCCAGAGGCTGGGAAGAGTAGTGGGGAGGAAAGGATGGGAAAGGTTGATCAAGAGTGCTAAGTTACAGTTGGACAGAATAAGAAGCTCTGATGTACTATTTCACATGAGGGTGAAAATAGATGGCAATGATGTACCACACATTTGATAAAGCTAGAGAAAAGATTGTAGGTTTTCCCCATAATAAAATGATAAATATTTGAGAGACAGATATGCCTAACCTGAATTAAACATTATTTACCATATAAAAACATTACATCACTCCTTTGAAACATACATTTTTGTGATTTGTGTATTAAAAAGAAATCTAATTGATAAAAATATAAAAAGATGTTTCACATTCAACTTGACCTGAGGTGATGATATGAAGATCTAGAAATTTTGTTCTCTCAAGTATCTTTACATTTGGCCTATTCCCTGGGAATAGTAAAAGTAATCAGCATTACAAACACTTAATAGGGTGTTTTTACCTCCAGGCATAGTACTAAAAATATTGCTATGATTGTTATCTAACCCTTACAATAGATCTGTGAGTTAGATTGTATTATTTTCATTTTAATAATGATAAAAGTGAGATCTAAATTGTTTGCTTGGTACTTCCAATCTTCTCAATACAAAATATTTTTTAATCCTGTAATAATCACTTTAATAAATGATTTCAATTATCTAGTGTATAGTAGCATTTCATCTATAAATATAGTGGCTTGAAACAACCATCGTTTATGTTGTTCAGGATTCAAGGGTTTGTGGGGCTTTAGTAAGAGGCTGTTTTGCTCCACCAGCCATTGGTTTATGCTGCTCACTCATCTGTCCTGGAAGGCTTACAGGTTCTAAGAATCCTTCACCCCCTGAGTTCATCCTGCTGACTTCCCCACAAACTGGCTTGCCTGCTTCACAGTATGTTGGTGTCCACATTGCGTTTTCTCACATGGTAGCTGACTGTAGGTGGAAGGAAGCAAAACCTACCAGTCTTTTGCAAGTAGGGACTCGAGAGTTCTTCATTCCCACTAGAACAATTCCACCAGGCAAAGCAAGTCAGTTTACACTTAGGAAAAAAGTAAATAGAATTCATATCTCGAAGGGTTGGAATTGCAAATATGTGTAGGGATGCATTGCTGAGAGCCATTTTCATTTGAAACTCTTTACCCACAGATCCTACTCTTTATTTTTAAAATGGAAAATGAATGTGAAAAACAAACACAGGAAAGAATCAAGGAATAAAGGAATATAAGTGTCTATATAGCWCAAACACTAATATTTTAAGAAGAAACTTGAATGGGATTTACATATTCTATTTGTTTTTGTATGTTCATATGGGGTCAAGAACATATTCTAGGAGGAGGAACTTGGGCAAAGACCAGTAGAAAAAGAAAAAAACAAAAAAAGTATTAGAAGACTATTCACAAATCAAGAAAAATGAAACACAAAATGCCAGGGAGTGTGTATTCAGCATGCAAGGAATGATACAGAAGGAGTAAAATACAGAAGACTTTGAATGGCAGGCTGAGAATTTAAAGTTGACATTTTTACCCAGAACCATCCCTAGGTTTACTTTTTTTAAACAAAACAGAACACTATAACCAAAAAAATATTTGAGGAGAAGTTACTTTTGACTCAGAGCTACCCAATTCTTGTCAAATGTTTGATCTGTTTTGAACACATATATCTATGCTCTTGAAAGGTGATGACAAGAGTTTTGGACAAGCATGTTTATGAAGCTGCCAGACGTAAATTCTGCACGCGCCTTGGTATATTCAGGAAAAGGGTTTGAAGCATTCTTTAGGAAGTAAAAATGTGCAACCAAAAAAAAAAAAAGAACCCTAGTCCCAGTTTTATAAAATAAAAATCTAAACAAACTTAGATAAATCTGTGTGAGAAATAAAATGAGTGCAATTATCTAACAAGTATTGTTAGTAAACTTATTAATATGAACAGTTAATGACCTTTTTTTTTAAGTGACCCCATCCCCCATGGTCACATAGTCTCAGCAAGAAAAATTCCAGCTGGACACAGAACCTCAAACACAGAAATTTTCATAGAAAATGCATTGAATAGTGGTGATTTATTTTTGATTGAAGGATGAAGTCAGTGATCTGAAATAATTGAAAACTCACAAGGACATCTGAAGCATTTGAAATACAACACAAATTGTCTGTGGTTGATTTATATAATAGATGTGTGTATTGTTCTAACTAATTGGTAACTATTCTAAATTGCATTCATAAGTAAGAATAAGAACTCTGTGAGGAGTTTACTATTACCATTTGCTATTACCACATTATACAAGTGAGGAAACTGAAGACTGGAAAACTTTGGAAATTTGTGCAAAGTYACATGTTTAATGGCAAAACAGGTTTAAAATCCACAAATTTGCCATCCCAAGCCTAAATGTGTAACTACTACACCATTTATTCTTCAAAGTTTCTACTCAGTTTTATTTTTAAGGGGCAATTTTTATTTAACAAAGATACCAAATGTTTATTTAACAAAGGTTTGTTGAGTATTACTTTGTGTCAGACACTATTCTGAGTGAGAGACACAGCAGCAGCAAACCAAAGATAGTCAAAAATTGCTATACTTTTGGAAMACATGCTCTAGTCTGATAAGAAAAGGAATAAAAATAAATAAATAAGCCAGATCATTCTACAATATCAAGAGCTTTAAGGGTCACATTATAGTGGCACCCCCTTTCTCCACAGAAAAGTCTTAACTGGGCTTCTCCAGAAATCTTCACCATGACCGATTTTAGGACTATCAGCAAAAGAGTCTACAAAAGAGTTCAGTGTTGATAAACTTTCAATTTTTGTGTTGCCTTGTTTACTTGGCCATTGGCTGGGAAGAAATCAGCACTCCACATGCTGAACACCCCCTTACTAGTTTTTCACAAACATGTATCCAGGATAGTAGTTTGTAGAAATGTGTAAACAAGGCCTCTGGCCTTGAGCTGGGGCTTCACAGAGATGTCTACATTTCTAAGATAAGAGAAGGTACCAATTGGGCTCCATGGTAACAGCTGGCAGAGGAAGAAAAGAAAGGGGAGAAGAAGCTCCCCCCTTCTCAGGTGTTGTCCTTGAAGGGTCAACTTGCCCAGAACAGTGGAAGAAAAAGCTGCTTTTATGTGAACTTCTGSAGACTGTGAACTTCTGAACCCCTCCCCTTACATGGTGGGTATAAAACTCTGAAACTACCTGAACTYGGGGTTCAGGGGATTAATTGATTACARCATAAGCTATGACCTCTGAACCTGGCTGCAGCCAAATAAAACTGTTTCCTATTATCTTTGGTGCATTGCCTGGTCTGCCCCTATAACAACATATTGTAAATGAAGCTGGATCCCTTCATAGTAGTTGGTCAGAAGGTCTCTTCAAGGAGATGTGAATATAGTTGAGAACAAAGTAATGAGGAGTCATATTTTAAAATTCAGGAAAAGAAGGCTTTTGGCAGAAGTAACTGCAGGTGCAAAGATGGAATGGATGTGGTGTGTTCAAGAAACTGAAAGAAAGTGAGTGTAGTTAGAATAAAGAAGAAGAAGGGAATTGTAATGTCATGAGGCTGAAAATAGAAGCAGACAACAGACTGTGTTGTACCCTATAAGCCATAATCTCGGAGATAGAAGCTTATTCTAAGGGCCTAGGCAAACCACAGGGAACATTTTAAGTAGAAAACATTACTACTTAAAGTTAAATTTGTTATTTTACTATCTTAGTGATGAGGATTAAAAGAAAAGAGGTCAGAAAAGTTACCAAAACTAAATATATGATATTTCACTCTCCCCACTGCTAACTTTTAAGCCTTTTATTTTGGGGGCAGGGGTGGATACTGGGGTTTAAATTCAGAGGCACTCAAACTGCTGAGCCACATACCCAGTCCTATTTTGTATTTTATTTAGAGACAGAGTCTCACTGAGTTGCTCAGAACCTGGACATTGCTGAGGCTGGCTTTGAACTCATAATCTWCCTGCCTCAGCTTCCTGAGCTGCTGGTATTAAGGCTTGCTGGGATCAAAGCTTGCGCCTGGTTTAATATATTACACAGCTTCATAGATTGTGAAGGAATAGTCAATCGAGGCACATCTGTATTAGTACCTATTGATGCTGGGGGAAATATGAAACCTGCAGTTCAGAGACATGCTATTTGAGCCTATTGAGTTCACTTCTCCCTTTTAGAGAGACCATATGTATAACTGGCTCTATGCCCRGGGCCTCAAGAGGGAAAACCCAAGTTCAAATCCCAGCTCCAACACTTAGTAGCGCAATTCCCTTGGGTACTGTATTTAACATCCTTAAGCCACAGTTTTTTTAATTATTAAAAGTAAGAATATAATAATACTCCCCTTCTGGATTCATTCCTAAACTGATATAAGGATTACAATCAACTTTATTTGATTTTTAAGAAGGTAATTGTTGACAAGGACAATTTGCTTTGGACTTAACTAAAACATACTTAAAGTTTTAAATTATCTTTATGTTCCTTCAAGTATCCAATTTGCATTTCTACTCATCAGAAGTTATGAAAATATAAAAGAAGTGCTTTTAATGAAAGCATTTCTATAAATGGAGAATAGACAGTGGAGTTCAGCATATCTCCAAGAACTCTATTATACTGCTTTTATTTAAAAACCACGCACTGAAGAAGAAATGTCTATAGATTTCACAGGTGCTGAGTGCAGATGCTGATAAATAGGTGCTATTCTGAAATGCACAGCTTGTCACTAAGTATACTGAGCTAAAATTAAGCAAAAAATGGAGGGACCCTATTGTGCACTGAATAGCATGATGACATGACTTTGCTATTGATGAATGGGCTCATCCAGCCATAAAGAGTAAAAATGTTAACTGCGGTATTAGGTTTTTATTGGCCGTGACCAAAATACCTGACAAGAACAAATTAGCAGAGAAAAAGTTTATTTTGGCTCATGGGTTCAGAGTTTCTATCTGTGGTTGGCCAGGTCCTGATGAGAAACAGCACATCATGACAGAATATATGGTGTGGTGGAGGGAAGTTCCTCAGCCCATGGCATCCAGGAAGCAGAGAGAAAGGAATAAATTAAAGTCCTCAAATAAATTACAGTAGGGACATCTGCAATGACCTACTTCCTCCAGCCATACCCCCACTTGCCTATAGTTACCACCCAGGGATTCATTCAAATTATTAAACCACCAAATAGATTAATGCACTGATTAGGTTACARYTCTCATAATCTAATAATCTCACCTCTAAACATTGCTACTCTGGCTCCTGATCTTTTGGGGGACATCTCATATTTAGACCATAAATATGGACCCTTTTTAAGCAGTAGAGATGATTTAGCAAGAGCTGGAAAGTTGCCGCTAGGGTTCAAAGTAGAACTCTGAATAGCTTCACTTAAGTGACAAATATGAAATTAAATCAGCTTTCCAAAGTGTTGTCCAAAACTATTGAGCCATTAATTTCTTTCCTTGGTTAATTGGGACTGAATAACCCCAAAATCAATCTTGTTACTGATTTCTCTTCTTGCTTATTGCAAGATCAATAACAATAGCTACTTATACCAGATATAAGGAAATGCATGAACAAGTTAACAAAACATAAAGTAAAACAGATGATAAGTGTGTTCAATTTAGTTTGCTTATTCCACTGTGCATTTTATTTTGTTTCAATAATTATGTGTTTTTTTTAAAGAGAGAGTGAGAGAGGAGAGAGAGAGAGAGAATTTTTTTTTAATATTTATTTATTTAGTTCTCGGCGGACACAACATCTTTGTTGGTATGTGGTGCTGAGGATCGAACACATGCCAGACGAGCGAGCTACCGCTTGAGCCACATCCCCAGCCCTAATTATGTGTTTTATATATGAAATTTGGTTAAAGTTTCTGGGATGGAAGTTACGAAAGCTAGCTTTGCCTTGTACCTTGGTGCCAGGTCTCCTGTGGTGAGACTCTGCAACACTGTACTCAGGCTAGATCTTGTAGACAGAACCTCCGAGACTGCCCCCACCATAAAGCAGAAAATTATGTGCTCGTGGGTCAAACTCTACATATGCCAACATCATTGCCAGTGTTGCATTGGGCTCAGGATAT